CCCCCCCAGTAACCTAAGCACTTTGCTCGGAGTGTCACCTCCCAAGGGTCCCCCCACCTCCCAACAGCCCCATGCTGGGACTAAGCCTGTGACACAGGCCTTCAAGAAACACTCCAGATCCAAACTGGCATCCCATTCAGTGCTCACCACAGCCGTTACCCCCATCCTGCAGGAGAGTAAGTGGAGAGAGAGATCAGCAGCCTGCTCAAGGTCACACAGTTGAACTTTCTATAACAGAAGCCTATTTTTTAACCATAAACAGCCCCTGGGCAGTCACCCCTGTCTCCTCCTCCAGCCCCTGGCTGCCACTTGGCTGTCCTGAGCACCCCATAGACACAGAACCATACAATCTGCAGCCTTTTGTGTTTGGTGTCTTTCCCTTAGCATGCGGTGAAGGTGCATCCGAGTGGAAGCTTACACCAGCACTCTGTTCCTGCTTCCAGCTGAATAACGCTGCAGCAAATGCATACTCTACATCCTGTGTGTCCATCCATCCAGGGAAGAGAGAGAGCCTTTGTCCTCAAGTAGTGACAAGAGGTGGGGCTTCAGGCATAACAGTCCTGAGAAGTGAGTCGGGAGCAGGACCTTCTCCCAGCTTTCATTATTCTGTGGCTCACTGAGTGCCATGGCATCAAAGCACCAGCCGTAATGGCACATGCTCCGCGCCAGTGTACATGGCTCCAAACCACTGGGGCATGGCAGGGAAGTTATGACCAGAGGGTGTTTGACAAGATCCTGGAATTTAAACTTACACCTCCAGTCCTGCTCCCACAGCCCAGTATTTCACTGAGTAGAAGATGGGAAAACAGGGAGCAAAAAATGGGAGCCTTAAGAGAATAACTGGGCTCCTACATGCTGGGTACACATGGAGCGGAGGAACTGAAGGCACCCACTGGGTAATTGAATCCCCAACTCAAAGTCAGAAGTGTTCCTGGGTTCTCCATTACACACACACACACACACACACACACACACACTCTCACACTTTGTTATGCAACTTCTCATAATGCACCAAACTGCTCTTTCGGCAATCAAATCAATTCTCTTCAAACACATTTAACGGGCCCAAGCTCCTAGCAAGACAGTACTGCAGCAGTCTAGAACAGAGGTCTTGGATCAGCTGGACCTGGATTTGCAAAATAGCATTAATTTGTGAATGCAGGTAAATGATACAACCTCAGTTTGTTTACCTGTAAAATGAGAACAGTAACAACAGTATCAAACTCAGTAGGTTCTCACAATAGCATTAAAACTACACAGTACAGTGCCTGGGAAAAGCAACCCTTAATTATTAATTTAAATATTAATTATTGAAGGTCAGAATTATTGTTAAAGCTCACAGTCACCTAGATTTACTGAGATCCATGGTAGGCTAAGGAGCAAGACTACCAATTCTAGGTTATCTCATAAAATTAAACCATGATGGTTAAAATCTACCCCATCGTCTTACATTTTTATACTTTGTGTAGTTGTTGAATCTTTTTTCTTTTGTTCTAAGAATAGAACCCCAGACTTTACACTGAGCTACATATTGGCCTTTGTTTAAAACGTGATTTTTTGAGACAAGGTCTTGCTAAGTCACTAAGTTGTCCAGTCCTGGCTCAAACTTGTGATCCTCCTGCCTCAGCCTCCCAGAGTACCGGGATTACAGAAATGTGCTAATGTCCCTGGCCAGTTGGTGAATCTTTCAATTTTGGAGTGGACAGGGAAGTGTTCATGCAAAAATTTCCCTTTTTTTTTTTTTTTTTTTTTTTAAAAGTATTGTGGTGCCTGCCTGAGTCCCTGACGGGGTGGGTCCTGACCTTGTGAGGTCACAGGGCGTGGAAACAAAGGGGTGTGTGACAGGGACAGGTCACAAAGGCAGGAGAGGATAAATACAGCTGTGCAGCGCTGCAGACCAAGGTGTTTGCAGCCTTTTCTCCAACTGCAGACTGTAGCCTCCTGGAGAGAGAAACAGTATCGCGACTGGAAGTGAGGGACGCTGATCCAGAAGAAAACCTCCTGGAGGGTTTTTTTCATCTCTGAAGAGAGTCCATCTGAGGTCCAGACACCCTCCCCGGGCCCTGGTCAGTGTTCCCTGCTGCCACCCCCCCCACCCCCGCCTGCCCTCCCGGGGCTCTGAGGCCGGGAGGGGCCTGTGGGCTGTGCTGGGCTGGGGAGGAGAGGCCTGCTGTAGTCACCTTCGGGACGCAGGATCACCAGGGACTCTTTATCTGCCCAGGACACCGAGGCAGAGGATGCAGGCCCCCCTGGCTGGCGCCCCTGTCATGACAGGAGATGGTCACGAACAGTGAGTCTCCATTACCCTGCTACGCAGCCAAGAGTGGCTTTGTGGCCACCATCTTCGGCACCAGCATCGGGAAGCTGCAGCAGCACTTGCACAAGGGCGAGTACTACATGTTCAGGTCCACCCTGATGTTTGAGAGCGACTTTGTCCAGATCACCAAGAGCGGGGAGCTCATAGATGTGCACAACCACATGAACTTGATGACCATGGGCGTGGCCTGCACCAGCCCCATCCTCCCGATCCCGACCCAGATCCCCGATGTCGTGCTCCTGGCCCGGCAGGCCACCAGCTGTGAACAGTGCCACAGCCAGGCCCCCAAGAGGAAAAAATGCAAGGCGGAGGAGCCCCTGGAGCTCACCAGGCTCCTCCCCTTGAAGTTTGTTAAGATCTCCGTTCACGACCGCAAGAAACAGCAGCTTCACCTGAAGTTCGCCACAGGCCGCTCTTTCTACCTGCAGCTGCGTGGCCCCCTGGATGCGTGCGAAGACCTCTTCACCTGCTGGGAGAGCCTCATTGACCTCCTGCAGCCGCCCTTTGAAAGTATCAGCGGCACCTACGCCACCCCGGCCGAGGACATTCTCTGCCTGCCTGCACTGGCCGACGCTGACAGGGCCAGCCTGGCCGCCTCGGACGCCCACAGCAGAGACTACTGGGACCAGGTCAGCATCCATAGTGTCCACTCGGACCTCGAGGTGACCGGGGCCACCTCAGACGACCACGGCAGAGACTACTGG